TTGCGAAGTGCTTAGGTTGATTAGACCGCTGCTTATGCGCTTGCTCTAGGTTTAGGCCTAGTGTTTAGTGAGGTTTGCATACCTCTTACCACTCGGTGCTTGCGCGCACCATTGTAGTACATCGGAGGGGCTTGTAGTCTTACGAGATCACACCAACCATGTTTGTGGTGTGGCCGCCACCGTGTACCGGAGGGAACAAGGCCCGTGGCGTTTTGGCCGGAAGCTTGATAGTGAAGACGGTGGGGAGCATCCGAGAAAGGCTTGCCGGAAGGCACGTCGGAGACCCACTTGCGCGTGGGGAAGGCCCGAGGCTATCCACGGAATTACCCGACCAGGAGCTTGGCCCTTGTGAGGGATTCCTTGCGAGGGGCTCCAACGAGGACTAGGGGGAAGCTTGCTTGCTTCTCGATACCTCGGTAAAAATACCGGAGTCATCGATGGGAGTTTGCATATCTTTAACTTGCTCTTTAGCTTCCGCATTTACATTGATTGCATTACTCCTTTTGCGGTAGAGATAGCAACACACTAGCAAAACTGTAGTTGCACATTTAGATAGTTTATCTTTTGCCTAGGTTTTGCTAAGGTTAGAAAAAGAGGCCATAGTTTAGAGTTAGATTTTTAAGTTGCCTAATTCACCCCCCCCCCCTCTTGGGCGTCACGGTCCCCTACATTGAGCAACCTCCCGGTTTTGAAGATGAGAAGAAACCCAACCATATCTATAAGTTGAAGAAGGCTTTGTATGAATTGAAATAAGCATCAAGAGCATGGTATGAGAGATTGATATACTTTCTACTTTCTAAGGGATTCAAGATAGGCAAGGTTGACACCACTCTCTTCACCAAGAAGCTAGGCAATGACTTGTTTATGTTGCAAATCTATATTGATGACATTATATTTGGATCAACCAATCAAGATTTTTGTGAGGAGTTTGGAAAGATGATGGCAAGCGAATTTGAGATGTCCATGATTGGAGAGCTTAGTTACTTCCTTCGTCTTCAAATCAAGTAAATGAAGAATGGCACATTTGTGAGTCAAGCCAAGTACATCAAAGACATGCTCAAGAAGTTTGGCATGGATGAGATCAAAGCAATTAATACACCTATGGGGACAAATGGAAGCTTGGATAGTGATGCTAGTAGCAACATGGTGGATCAAAAGATGTATCGGTCTATGATCAGAAGCCTACTCTATGTGACCGCATCAAAGCCGGATGTGATGTTTAATGTATGCATGTGTGCAAGATTTCAAGCCTCACCAAGAGAGAGTCATTTGAAGGCAACAAAAAGAATATTGGCATACTTGAAGCATACACAAAATGTTGGATTGTGGTATCCCAAAGGAGCAAGATTTGAGTTAATTGGATATTCGAACTCCGATTATGCAGGATCTAAAGTTGAGAGAAAAAGCACATTGGGCACATGTCAATTATTGAGAAGATCACTTGTGTCTTGGTCATCAACGAAGCAAATTAGTGTAACACTTTGAACCGCCGAAGTGGAGTACATTTCGGCCGATAGTTGTTGTGCTCAATTACTTTGGATAAAGGCTACTTTGAGTGACTTTGGAATCAAATTCAAACAAGTGCCATTGCAATGTGACAATGAGAGTGCCGTGAAGCTTACCAATAATCTAGTTTAACATTCAAGAACAAAGCATATAGATGTTCACCACCATTTCATTAGAGATCACTAATAAAAAAGGGACATTTGTATTGAGAGTGTGGGCACCGATGATCAACTTGTCGATATCTTCACCAAACCACTTGATGAGAATAGGTTTTGCAAGCTAAGGAATAAATTGAACATACTTGACTTCTCAAGTATGTGTTGATGCACCCCCATTATATGGCATGCCTCTCCTTCGAGCAAAGCAAGGTAAAGTTGATTGACATATCATTCATCCATTACTAAGGACTTGTTTAGTGCATCTAGTCATTTCTCACATGTCTTAGGCTCATTTATGAAAATCAAATGAATTTGATGCTTGTATGGTACCACTATTGCTTGTATGCTTGACATGATCTAGTGGTAGCATATGACATATTTGTAGGCTTGTGAACCTAGAGTTTGATCTAGAAAATGAGCTATAAGTGTTTCACTCAACATGGTACAAGATAACCCTTATTTGGAGGTGTGAAGAAGCTTGTCCTTGGATCAAATTGAGTTAAATATCTTTTGCAAGTAATCTAGATTGAACCAAATTTGGGAAAATGATCCTCACTTCACATGGTTTCACACAACCTATCTAAAATTTGAGCTCACCTTTTATGGTCAGCGATGACAAAGGGGGAGAGAAATTCCCAAAGATATGGAAAAGGGGGGGAGAAGTAACACAAAGATAAGATAGGAGAAATGAAGGGGATCAATTAAAATTTGAAGCACACAAGCACACAAGTAGGGGGAGCAAGCTCATAAACTTGTATGTTGCATTTGAATGTGCATTACATATGTTTGCTTGCATGACACAAGTTTTTAAATTCCATATCCATGCTTGTGTGGTGTATGCTAGATTATAGAAAATGATTGATGTAATGAAAACTAGCATTCATAGGATAGCTAGACACTTGAATTGGTTTTACAAGTGGTACTAGAGCCTTGTTTCTAATGTTGATCTCATGAGGTATCTAGTGTCTTTTGTTTTCAGGTGATATCTAGCAAACCATGGTGCTAAGGAAGGTGTTCAAATGGCAACTCCGATTGGTATCACACTTCAAAGGTCCATTCTTTACACCTTAGCATCATTTGGTAGCCATTGCTTCCCCACACTTTCTAATCCATGCATATGTGCAAGCTTTCAAATCCAAACTCTTAGCACATATGTAGGGGGAGCAAATGCTACCAAATTAGGTTTATGAAACTTGTCCATAACCTTTACACATGGTAATATGCTTGGGCAAGCAACATGAATCCAAGAAAATTTCATTGAATATCTTTGTCAAGGGTTGTCATCAATTACCAAAAAGGGAGAGATTGAAAGCCCTAGTTTGGTTTTGGATAATTAATGAAACCTAGGACTAACCTTTGATCTAAGTGTGTGAATTAGATAAGGTGGTCCAACCCAAGTGGTGAAGCTAGATGATGGCCATGGTGAAGGTGATGGTCACAAAAGAGATGATCAAGTGCGTCACATTTGGAAAAGAAGAAAGAGAAAAACAAAATTGGGCTCAAGGCAAAGGTATAATGATAGGAGACATTTTTGGTTTGCACTCAAGACACCATAGAGGATGTGAGTGATTTAGGATCGATAGCCGTACTATAAAGAGGGAAAATCTTTGGCTAAGCGGTTTATCGAGTGCCACTAGGTGACATGATTCATGCATTGCATTTAGGAACCTAGTGTGCTAACTTCTAACCCTTGTAAAATGCTTTGAAAAATGCTAACACATGTGCACACAAGTTCTACACTTTGTGGTTAGCAAGTTGGAAGTAAGGGCGAAGTGGTTGTGGACTTAGAAAAAGAAAAGGAGCTGAAAGTCCACGACCGGACGCTGGCCACGGGGTGATCGGACTCACCCCGGCGCGTCCGGTCAATTATAGCAAGGTAACACAGCGTTGGCCAAGAGCGCAGGGAACGCGATCGGACGTTGGACCTAATGCGGGGTCGCGTCCGGTCATGCACAGCAGTGGAAGCACAGCGCTCGGTGGTGCGATCGGACGTAGGAGCAGTAAAGCGGCCGAACACGCAGGAGTAAAGCAAATACGCTGACGTACGCTGACGTTGCACGCATAGAGAGGAGACCAGTGAAGACCGAACACTACGGTGCGTCAGGTCATGTTCGATCGGGTGCGATCGGGCCACCACCTAGATGGCTTGGAGCAGCAGAGGAGCTTCAGCACGTGTTGGTGATTGTTCATGGTTGTCTCTGGTGTTTGTGAGGGGTATTGCACCTTCCCCGGTGAAGAGTCGCAAGGTAGCTCTAGTAAATTGCTCATATCATTGAGTTAGCTCACTTGTGGGTAGGTTCTTGCAGCACCTCTTGTGGTGGGCTAGGTGTGTGATACCTATTAGCCGCCGAACCACCAAGTGTTGGCCGACACAACGAGGACTAGCATGCTGGCAAGCACGTGAACCTCAGGAGAAAAATCGTGTGTCATTCTTGTGATTGGATTTCTCCCGGTGATTGGTTGTCATCATATTGTGATTGGTTCACTCCTCTACACGGCGGTATAATCACCCTACTCACCCCTTTACATTCATTGCAAACTAGTTGTAGCAAGCTCTTTAGTGTAACTACTTTTGAGAGCTTGCTTGGTAGTTTAGTTTCATCTAGTGGAGCTCTTTAGTGTAGCCTTGTTGAGAGCTCTTAGTGAGTAGTGACTTAGCCTCTTGTGTGATTAGTGATCATAGAAACTAGAGTTGTTAGGTAGGTGGCTTGCAACCCTTGTAGAGCTAGAGCAAGTTTACATTTCGCCGTTTGTCTTACTAATCAAATTGCTCTAGTGTAATTATAGAATTTCAAATAGGCTATTCACCCCGCCCCTCCTCTAGCCATATTAGGACCTTTCATTCGGGATAGGCAAAAAGAGAAAGGATCCTATAGTGGATCTATAGGTAAAAGTTCAAGTGGCTACAGGGTCCGTTTAAAGTCTAGAGTGAAGGGTGATAAATTCTGCAATTATTGCAAGAAAGACAATCATTATATTATAGAGTGTTATAAGTTGAAAAACAAGGAAAAGCAAAGTAGCATATCTAAGTCAAGAGGTAAAACTGAAGATGAAGGTAAAGCTTCAGTTGCTACTGAAAGTGGCAGTGAAGGTGACATGCTTGTTACTTTTGCTGGATGTCCAAAGATTGATGATGAATGGATTCTTGATTCAACCTGCACTTTTCATATATGCATTCATAAAGAATGGTTTACCACTTACGATTCTATGCAAGGTGGTGGCTCTGTGTTAATGGGTGATAGCACACCCCGTAAGATAGTTGGCATTGGATCCATTCAAATTAAAATATATGATGGTGTTATTAGGACCTTGACTAATGTGAGGCACATTCCAACTATGACGAGAAATCTTATCTCATTAAGTACTCTAGATTTGAAAGGGTACAGATACTCCACTGGAGGTAGAGTTATGAATGTATCAATAGGCTCTCTTGTTGTCATGAAAGGTGATTTGAAATCTACCAATTTGTATCTTTTGCGAGGTACTACAATTGTAGGTAATGTTGCTACAATTTCAAAGTCATCATCTGATTCTGATGCTACAAAGCTTTGGCATATGCGTCTTGGGCATATGAGCGAACTTGGTTCGGCAGAGCTAAGTAAGAGAGGGATTCTTGATGGATATAACATTAGTAAGTTACAATTTTGTGAGCATTCTATGTTTGGCAAACACAAGAGGGTGAAATTCAATACCTCGACACATACAACCAAAGGTATTCTTGACTACGTAAATTTAGATTTATGGGGGCAGTCTCGTAAGACATCACTAGGTGGTGCTTGGTATATGTTGACAATTATTGATGATTACTCTATGAAAGTTTGGCCTTATTTCTTGAAGCATAAATCAGAAGCATTTTAGCTTTTAAAGAGTGGAAGGTAATGGTTGAAAAGCAAACTAAAAAGAAGGTAAAAAAGCTTCGCACCGATAATGGGATGGAGTTCTGTTCAGAGGAATTTAATTCTTATTGTAAATCTAAAGGCATTGCGAGACACTACACAGTTCCTTACACACCTCAGCAAAATGGTGTAGCTGAGCGTATGAACAGAACAATCATATCAAAGGCTCATTACATGTTGTCTAATGCAGGACTGCATAGACATTTTTGGGCAGAAGTTGCTTCCGCTGCTTGTTATCTCATTAATCGGTCTCCATCTATTGTCATTAATAAGAAAACTCCAATTGAGGTTTAGTCTGCTTCTCTGGCAAACTATTCAGAATTGAGAGTTTTTGGTTGATAACAGAAAATTGGAGCCTAGAGCGGTTAAGTGTATCTTTCTAGGATATGAATCTGGAGTCAATGGATATAAGCTATGGAATCCAGAACTAGAAAGGTTGTGATTAGTAGAAATGTTGTCTTTAACAAACATGCTATGTTACAAGACAGTACTACTGATTTTCCTATTGATGGTCAACAGAAGTCAAGTGTTTAGGTGGAGCAGTTTGTTGATGCACCAAGAAAAGAAATTAATAGTATTTCAGGTGAACATGCTATGATAGTTTTGTTTATTTAATGACCATTGAAGGTTCAACCATCTATTTGCTTTTGTATGTTGATGACATGTTGATTGCAGCAAAAGATAAAAAGGAAATAGCAAAACTAAAGGCACGGTTGAATAACGAGTTTGAGATGAAGGACTTGGGTGCAGCAAAGAAGATTCTTGGCATGGAAATTATCAGAGAAAGACATGTTGAAAAATTATACCTTAGTCAAAAAGGATATATCAATAAGGTTCTTCGTCGCTTTAATATGCATGAAGCTAAGACAGTGAGTACACCTTTAGCTGCACATTTCAGATTATCTGTAGCTTTATGTACACAGTCAGATAAAGATGTGGAGTACATGTCTAAAGTTCCATACTCAAGTGCAGTTGGTTCTCTTATGTATGCCATGGTTTGCTCTCGTCCGAATTTATCTCATGCATTGAGTGTTGTTAGTAGATACATGGCCAATCCAAGTAAAGAGCATTGGAAAGCTGTCCAATGGTTTTTCAGATATTTGCAAGGTACTTCAAATGCATGTCTACAATTTGGAAAAATCTAAAATTGTACTTGTTGGTTATGTGGACTCTGATTATGTTGGCGATTTTGATAAAAGAAGGTCACTCACAGGTTATGTATTCACCATTGGTGGATGTGCTATTAGATGGAAAGCAAGTTTGCAAGCTACAGTGCTTTATCTACAACTGAAGCAGAGTATATGGCTATTTCTGAGGCATGAAAAGAAGCTATTTGGTTGAGAGGTTTGTACAATGAGCTCTATGGTAATAAATCTTGTACCACTATATTTTGTGATAGTTAGAGTGCTATATGCCTTACAAAAGATCAAATGTTCCTTGAGAGAACAAAGCATATTTGTCGGGGTCAAGATACCCCGGTATCTCAAGGAACCGAATAAATAGTCACCCGGGTGACCCAGCTAGCCAAAACAAGCCCACTTAAGCCACGCAGGCCCTAGGATGGACATCAAGTCATACAGTCCACCATGGCCTCTCCCTTCTCCTTCCACTACACGCTATGTAGTCGCGCTCGACCTCTCCCCCGTCTTGACCCCTAGGAAAGGGCAGGGAGACGCCGGGCGCCACTAAGTATACCCATTCTGACAAAGACAGGCACGCTCCACTCACTTCGTTAGGATGGAGGGGACAGATGCCTCTCGAGACGTGGGATCTCGGGCAGACATCACCCCTGCGCACCTCTGCGCTGACAAGACGACACCGCAGGGCTATGACAGCTAGTATGGCACTGCCCTTCTAAAGCCAACCCGACAAGATGGGCGTACGGCCCGATCCGCTACGCGATGGGTCGCACGACCCTAACCTTGACTTCCAAGGCCAACCAGGCCGCCAGGAGCCTCGACCTCACGATCTAGGGATGAGGCCCCTGGCACCGTGACCCGAAACGGCGACCCACGACCTGGAGGTGGCTACCTACTCCCTCACTATCACCATGACGCCACCGGGAGAACATGAGACAATGACGAAGGCCACGGCAAGACCATACCGCATAGGACAATTAGTGAACCACCGCCATGCCAACAGTGTTGTCACAACCGGCACTATAGCGCCACGCCATGCCATGCCACAGCATGGGGAGCGAGACCACGACGGCGGCCATGCCTGAATGTACGACAATGCCAGGACAAGACAGGATGGCTTGCCATCCAAGTTTACTTGCTTCTCCCTCCATCGGGCTGTCGACCACTCGGGTTGGGAGAACCCATCTCTCTACATGTAACCTGGCCCCCGAACTTTATATAAGGGCGGTTAGGCCTCCCTTCATAGGGGACGAAATCTCAAGACTCCATTCAGGCTTTCATTCACCTCACTCCTCCTACCTCGAATCCCTTAGCTTACACACCCCCATTGTAAGACTTCAGAGCACTTGAACCGATGAACACAAACTCAAACCCTCTCTGAGACTGGACGTAGGGCTCTGGCCTGAACCAGTATAGTTTCCTTGTGTGTTTGAGTGCTACTATCATCTTCTTAGAGCAGCACGACACACATAAATTCACTCGTTGGTTTACAAAACACCGACAATATTGATGTTAGATATCACTACATTCGAGGTGTTAGAGCCCAAGGTGATATCAAAGTATGCAAGATTAGTACTCATGAAAATCTTGCAGACACGATGACAAAGTCTGTTCCTACTAATAAGTTTGAACGTTGCTCAAGTTTAACTGGTGTTACCGTTTAGTCCATGGGATTATTTTTTGGGTGCATGGTGATTGTTAACATTGAAAGATTTTGATGGTGATTCTTCACAAGAAGGGAATTTGTCTCAAGGTGGAGTTTGTTGATTTATGCTCCGAATTCCTAAAGGATCTTTCATGTGCCTACACATGGATAGTCTAAATTTGCTTCTACCAAATTGGCATAGACGTTTTCTGGTTGCATGCATACATGACTGCGTAATGGCCTGCTTGCGTAGTTGCTTTTCGAGCCGCTCATGTTTTGGGCTGTTGTATGCCGATGCCTATATAAATCGGGGGATGTTTAACGGTGAAGAGTAACACAATTAGTAGAACTCTTCTGTGTTTTCTATTCCTCTTCCTCTTGTAATCCTTTCGGAATGAGTTACCACTCAGTGTAAATTCTTTGAGTTTGTAGACCTCCAGATATATTCAATAGTGAAGATTACCTTTGTGTATTCGTGTCTTGATTTTCAGAGGAGTTTGACTACATCCGCAAATCATTCTGAGATAGTTGTACTATATGAGGCCTTACGTGAATGTGTTTGGCTTCGCGGAATGATTAACCACATACAACAGTCTTGTGGTATTGGTGTCATCGACTCACCAACCATATCTATGAAGATAATGCGGCTTGTGTTACACAGATGCAGACAGGTTATATCAAAAGCAATATCACCAAGCATATTTCTCATAAATTGTTCTATCCTCATGAATTACAACAGAAAGGAGAAATAAATATCTTGCAAACCAAATCATGTGATAATCTAGCTGATTTGTTCACTAAATCCCTACCAGCTTCCTCATTTGAGAAATATGTTAAAGGAATTGGTATGCGGCGACTTAGAGATTTGAAAGGTTGAGGGGGAGAAATCTCCTAGATATTAGCTTGTCCAAAGCATCATATTGCACTCTTTTCTTTTTATAAGTTTTTTCTCGCAAGGTTTCTCATAGAAAGTTTTTAATGAGACAATATTAACATAAGCATATGCCATATTCCTTGTTTTCCCCCACAGGGGTTTTTAAAGGGATATCAAAGACATATATTGTCTTCTAAACTATACATGAGTTTTCTCCTAAAAATGTTTTCTCATATAAGTTTACAATGAGGCAATAATCATTATGTGCTATATCTTTCTCCTTGTTTTCCCATTGGATTTTAAGCAGTTTTTTTATAGCATATCTACCGGTATTCTTCCTCGTTTTTATCCCACATGAATTTTTGGAGGTACAATACTATTCATTGATCTCAAGGACGGATTCGATCAAGGAGTGTTACAAATATCTTGGTACAGGGGTGATTTCAACCGCCTCCTTGAGGTTCCCATCCGTCAAGGCCCAACCGCACGGTCTTCTGGTACGTGGGAGTTTCTCCCCGCATGACCGCACGCATACGGGAAACTCCCCACAGCCACGGGACGTGCGTTGTGGTTACTTAACGGAAGACTTTCCTCCTCGTAACCTCTCCCTGTTACGGTGTATAAATATCACCTATGATCAATGGAATAAAGCACTAATTCATTTTGCCACTCTACTGTCTTTTTTACATTGCTCGCAATTCTACTCGCGACACTATTTACTACTCTGTCTCACTGTGACTGGACTCAGGCATTCAGCTCGATCAGACCGAAAAAGTCCTCGCTCACAGAGACGTGAGGTGAACCGTTGAAGGAAGTTGAGCTCATCCGTTGGCACCGTATATATGTACCCTCGTGGTGGCACCTGATTATTTACTGTTGTTTATACTTTGGATTTGGAGTTGTTCCAAGACGACAACATGGTTTGGACCTGGAAAACTCAGACTTGGGACGTCAGTTCGATGCTGAGTTGCTGACGACGACACCGATCGAGTTCAGATTTTTTTTTAAAAATACTCCAGTTCACAGTTGGATTTGGATATGATCTAGAAGGGCTGACATGGGGTCATGAGTCAAGGAAGAAGGACGTACATACTCTGTCTGTACGAAATTCTTTATTTCAGGTACTGCATGCACGGCAGAAAGTCTGCTCCGATTCCGACAAGTTTGGTGTGACACGCTGTTTTTGCACCAATCCACTTGTGTATCTTTATTAGTTTCACTATAAGAAACCTGATCAATTGTAGCTTAGTTTGTTGTTCGACTAATAAAGAATCTAATAATAGTTCCATAAGCTCAAAGTCCTTGTTCATAGGGTTTTTATAAAATTGACTCTGTATACAGAACAATTAACGTACATATAGGGTGAACAAGGTCAAACGCATAGGTTTGATGCGTGGATAGGTTGACGTCCAAGTGCTTAGCCATGGCAATGGCGTTGTCACTTGTCAATGGGCTAGCAAGACATACGACAATAGGTGGTGTGGTAACATGCTGCTAGCCTGCTGGTGCAGTAGTGCTAGGTCAGTGCTGGTTCCAATTTTTGCCGTCAGTTAAAGATCTGGATGTTAGTGAGTTGAGGGTAAAAGCTGTTTATAACTAAAATAAGCCGAAACTAAGAGAAAAAACGACACGCTTTTCAGCAATTTCTTCTGACCATGCTTATTTTCAGCATCCTTGTTTGTACTAAAAATATAAACTGAGTTAGACTTGCCTATTCTGACCGTGCTTTTACTTTATTTACAGCTTGTGAGAGAAATGCCTGGCCATAGTCTACTGAGTTAGGCCTTTTATTATATCTTCTTCTACTTTATTTCATGCCTTGAAAAAAGATAAGGGCCCATGGAAAATTGGTGCTATAATTGCTTGTATCCCTTTGCAAAAATTTGCTTCATGTTAGTCACGGGCACGCGCGATGTTCAACGTGGATTTTATACCATCGGAGACGGATTTTTATCCTAGATAGGGCTTATTTGGATACATATGTATTCACCTTAATCCATATGCGTTAGAGTAGATTAAGGTAAAGGTAAAGCTACTCTAATACGTGTGAATTGAGATAAATACCTATGCATTCAAACAAATGCCCTACGAGTAATTTGGTCAATCTGACCGTTTATGCATTTATGTGTATACAGCAACATACCGGCAGAGGACCGGAATATCTCACGAGAACATTTATGCGTGACCAATACACTCTGGAAAATGTTGATTATACGGTCTGGAGAAAAATTCTTGGATGCCTGCCGCCCGTCCTGTACTGTACTGCTCTTTGGTCCCGTATTTGTCTGTCATCCAGTTGGCCGGTTGCATACCATTGCAAAGGTCACGCCCACACACCCATCTACCTCTCCGTTGTTTTCTCTCTCTTTTAACCCAAAAAAAAAGAGAAATTCATTTTATCTTTTTGGCGGAAGATACACCAAAAGAGTTGTGAACGGGAGGTGAAAAACCAGGGCATTACTAGTTCTAGTAGTTCTCATCTCATCAGGTGTAAAAAACTTGTTTAGTTCCACCCCAACTTCCAAAAAGTTGCTACAGTGCCTGTCACATCGAATGTTTGCGGCCCGTGTATAGAGCATTAAATGTAGACGAAAAGAAAAACTAATTGCACAGTTTGGTGGGAAATTGCGAGACGAACGTTTTGAGCCTAATTAGTCCATGTTTGAACACTATTTGCCAAATAAAAACGAACGTACTACAGTAACCCCGAAATCCAAATTCATGGAACTAAACAAGGGCTAACTAAAGGCCCACAGGAACAGCAATCCTCAGGTCAGTTGGCACATGGCAGCAGACTGAGGCTGTCGCGCCCAGCTGTCCAGGCAGCAAGCAGCAGCTCATCCGTTCCTTGCTTTGACTGCATTCAACAAGGCCTGCTGCACTCTGCAGCAGATCCATGTGAGCTTCCTTTTGGATGGATCTTGCCTTCCGCTGATACAAACAATACAACGACCTGTTGCACCACATGACATGATCAGCCCTGTTCAGTTTTTTTACCAGAGGCTGAGCTGAGCATCTGCTTGGTATCCAATGATATCCTCTTTCCGATTTTTCCGGCAACATTCCGTTTCCTGCTGACCTCTCAGGAAAAACAGAGCAGCTTCGGTACCAGCAGCAGCAGCTAAGAGCCAGCCCGTGTTCCAAGGAAGACAAGGCTCACTGCGGGGCAGAGCCTTTCATGGCATTTTGGGGTCATGAAGCAGCAGCTGCAGAGCCTTCAGTGTTTCAAGAAAAACAGCAGGCTTTCACATGCTGCCTGCCCGACTGATGAATGAAGCCACATAAATACAAGAAACGCCAGCAGGCAGCAGCATCACCAGCTAATCATCGGTGCCAGCTCCCCTGATGGTTCTGTTCACCGGCTCACCGCCTTCCATTCCATCTGGCCACTGCAAGTGAAGTGAGAGCAGATGTGGCTGCCGGCTGGAGCTCGCACAAATGGCAGCCCCCCAAGACGGCACCAGCTCCCCGTTCGCTTCGCTGAAAAAACAAGTCGAAACATTGTTCCGGCTGATTTGTTGTGAGAGAAAAATACTGATCTGGCTGAAAAAACAAGCTAAAAAGAACGGATTATAAGAGAAGCGAACAGGGAACGCGAAGCTAATGAAACCTCCCCCAGTAGGCCATGGCTGCCATGCGTCATGGACAGACATCGGTCCAACAAACTCCATGGACGCCAATTTATTTGGCAGCAACGGGAGGGAGGGCCTGCCCTGACCTGGGCCTACTCAGGCGCCAGCCAGCCAGCCTGGGGATCCCAGGAGAACATGTGAGCTGTTGCTGTATTGGTTGTTTGATTGGATGGATGCCCACAAGGATGACAGGATTTATATACAGAGCCACTGGATCATGATTCATGAATTCATGATGTGTTTATTTCCATTCATCACCAAATCGACAATCGTATGAAGCCACTCTCTGGACTCAACTCAACCATCCTAACCACAAAAAAATTTCTTATAGATTGAATGAACAAATCTTAACTGTACAAGCAGATTAACAGCTCGATATCGATCGCCCCGCCAGGCTTGGCCTCCCCTGAGAAGGCGATGCGGAATGTATGCTGACTGAGCCTCAAAGCTGACGGCCGGCTGGAGGAATGGTGAATGATTCTTTTCTTGACGCGCCTAGCTTTAAAGAATTTTGGAGACGGGAGGAAAAGACTTGAAAGATTCTCGGAATTGTACAAGGAGCGGGGAATAGGAAGAAGGATGAACACTCTGTACTCTATACATTTTCGCTGGTGCGATGGCGGCATGGAAGCTAGGGAGGGTGAAGCAGCTGGAAGAATTCGAGGATGGGGTTTGCAGGTCCAAGCAAGGCTCGGGGAAGACAAGCTCGGAGTATCCGGAGATGTTGGAGCAAGACCAGGAGGAGGTGGAACTGGCCGAATCGGCCAGCGAGAAATTGATGTTGGAGAGGCAGATATCGGTGAATGGGTCACCAGCGATTCCTGACAAAACGCCGGCGACTAAGATTTTCGTCCCAGTCATGTTCTTCAGGGTGATGTGGCTGATCACTGGGAACGCGGCCGGATCAAAATGGTCATCTGGGTGGCTTGACCAATCACCGGTGAACGCGATGGCGACTTTAACGTCTTCCATTTGGATGTCTGAGATCACGGTATCTCTAATATAGCCTCCACGGCCCAGCGCAGTCTTGAAGAAGATGCCTTTGGACGAACCGTGGATAAGGAGGTGGTCCGCGTGAACATCCGAGATCCCGCCAGACATCTCACTCCCAAATGCAAGAGCAGCACCCAATGAGGACTCCAGATCCAATCTGCTAATGTGAATGTCTGAGGTTGGCCTTCCGAAAGCAATGCCATACTTGTCCCACCCACTTTTTAATGAGATTGCATCGTGGCTAACCCTGATACTGCTGTCCTCGATGCACATATTTGAGCATGAATCTACAGAAGAAACAAAAGAGAAATGAATCAATTTTTGGCCACAGTGGCTCTGCAGCAAATCGCCACAGGTAATGCGTAAAAATGTTAAACATAGAGCATAAAGGAATTTGCTGTCTCCATTACACACAGTCACAACTGAAACTGGCCAGTAAAACGTGTCTTAGGTAAAGAGATACTTTAAGTAGATGAAACTCAGGATACATATCCAAACAAAAGCTATAGATGATACGGTCACATGGATTTTGACTAAGGTAAGGAATCAATGATGATCAAATGCTGCATTACCTGGAACGATTCCATGATTAAGTGGAGCATCCAATGAAGTCTGAATTGTGATACTATGGACCACTACATTGCTGGTGGAAAAACAACAGAAACATGTCCGTAAGTAATTTTTGACAATCTGTGTCTCAAAAATTAAGCAGAACAGAGCAGAGCAAATTCTATAGTTGCAAACAATGTTAGCATACCTGCAATACACTGGATGTATACTCCAAGCAGGGGAATTTAAAAATGCTATGTTCGAAATGACGATTTGCTCAGAATCTACAAACTCCACGAGATGAGGGCGGCTATAGTTTAACTTATTCGAACGAAACCAGTTCCACCATGTAGAACCCTGGCCATCAATTATTCCATTGTTTCCTGAAACAAGTGTATTTTAAGTATGCAAAACAAATAACTACCAGATAAAAAACTGATATGTCTCAAAACAAGTGTATTTTAAGATTGTATTTACCAGTAATAACAACATCAACTAGATTCTGCCCATTTATTAAACTTCGATGCCTCGAACCTGGAAGGTCCATTCCTCGTCCATGTGATGGCAAAGGTTCAACAACAGGCCACTGTGAAACCTCCTGAAGTAAAAACACAAGTGCATACAGTTAGTTTAAATATTTAACTTATGATAAGTAAGGCATCTTTTTTTCACAGCTATAAGGAAAAAAATGAAATGCATACAAAGATGCTCTTTCCGAACAAATCAAACTTCACGACAATGCAACAGAACAAAAACTAAACAAGTCTCACCATGCAGAAAACTATATATTACAGACAAACAATCTCAATCAGCCCAGTACAACTACAACCAATTGAGGTACGACTAGAGAAAGCAGCTTGACTTCAAATCAATGCAAATGTTATTTGTCTTTCCTTAGCTACTGCCCTCACATCGATAGCTACGTGTCACCATCCAACACTCCTGTTGATTAGCAAAGTCGCATATCACTACACTAGCAAAGATCCGAAAGAATATGGAATGTTGTAGTACTTCACGAAAACATGGAAGACCAAAACATGTATCTCACTCCCAAGCAAAATATTTTCCAGGTAAAATCATAGATTCATGGAAATAGAAGCCTCATCAATGACACTTACCAGGAAGGCTGGAAAAATTTCACTCCAGAGGACATCTTCCACCAACCATATCCAAACAAACAAATGATGACATGAGCTGGACACTAGAACTACTTGCGTCGCTAGCAACTCTCAATGCAAATGCAATCGAAAACGATAGGTAAACCAGAAATCATGCAGCAATACCCCATCTATTTCAGCCTATGTGCATGTAGATGGAGTAGGAGAATTGATGGAACACCTACTGACGATGCAAAAACAGAAATAGTAGGTGTGGTACACAAATCTACGGAACGGAATTGGAGTCCACTCCATCATCCAATCCATCCAACCAATGACACAGCAAAATGCTCATGCTGATGAAGAGAGAAAAGACAACTGCAAGAATGAGGTGGACAGTGGACAACCTGGGTGCCGACGATGACGGCGCCACTCTCCAGGAAGAGGGTGAGGTGGCTGGTGAGGTTCAAGCTGCCGGTGAGCCACCGGCCCTTGGGAACGTACAGCTGCGCGCCGCCCTTGTCGGCGAAGGAGCGCAGGTAGAAGACGGCGTTCTGGAAGGGCACCGTGTTGAGGGTGACGCCGTCACCAACGGCCCCGAACTCGGTGATCGTCACGCTGTGCGGCCGCGGCGGCGCAGCCGGGCCGCGCCGCGCGCACTGTGGCTCCGCCTCCGCACGACGAGCGAGGCCGAATACCGCGACCGCGACCGCCACCGCCAATGCCAGAGCCACCTACACCCACCACAGCAGTACAGCGAAGCAACCGGTCAGTGCTCAGTACCACCACTGTTCCCATGAATCCAGCACGGAAGCTCCACAATCAATCTCGCAACAAGAAAAGCGCGTTTAATCGCAAGATCTCAAGGGACGCGTGCACAGGAAGATCCCGATTTGGGGTGACGAAGCAGAGGGAATCGAGACCCGGGCGCGTCCCCCCAGCTGAAACACGGCACCAAGCAACAATCCCAGAGAACCCATTTCACAGGAGGCGACGGCGAGCAAGAAAAGAGGCTCCTTTGCGGAGGAGGAAACCCACGGCACGGAGGATTCGACAAGACACAGTGATCAGACATACTTACTAGCCTCGCCATGAATTTCCCCCCTTTCCGGCGGAAGTGGGGAGAGCGGAGCGGCGAATCAAGGCGGGGGAGCCGGAGAAGATGAAGCTCCAACACGCGGTGGAGGGAGGCGAGGAATTCGCCTGGGATTGGGGAGTAGAGCGGAGCTGGCGCAGCAGAGAGGGAGGGGAGGGAGATAGAACGAGTAGAGAGACTGGGGCTGACGAAGCTTATGAGCAAGGGAGGTTTTTGCTGTGCAGGTTTACAGCTTGGCTCTTGAAAGGTCCTGCCCTGTGCTATAATAACGTTTGTGTACTCGTTCTACCATATTGCTTGCCACAATTAAGCTGTGGTATCTTTGTCGATAATCCTATAATTCTACTCATAGGACACTCTTATTTCATATTCCAAAATTGCCGAACACGGAAAATCAACTGAGATTTAGTCTAGCAAGTTTCGTGAGAAGACTAATGTTTGTCAAATAGAAGAGACTTTGGAGAAAGTAGGGCAGCCCAGTGGGGAGGGCAGGATCAAGGTGTGGTGGAGAGGGACGGAAATGTCATTGACCGCGGACGCATTGAGGATGGCTGGTGATACCAACAACAGTGGATAGCAAAAACGAGGTGACTAATAACAAATGACGACGTACAATCAAGGTATCTTCAATGGACAGTAGAGTCGTCGGCTTGGTGGGAGTGGGCAGGGAAGATTTGCACGTAATCGGTGACATGCATTCTGATTGAATGGCTAATGTAGATACTAAAAATAAATGGATGAAAATGTTTCCTATAATATGGTTAGACTTGGCTATGCTCTACTTTTGATATAATTGTTGCAAAACATCATATAATATTTAGCGAGCTAGTTACGTCTGCATCACACATTTTCTTTGAGATTATAATTTCCACAGGCATGAGTTCTAGCATATGCCCCCAACCCAAACACACACAAAGATGGCAATATATGATCTCCAACGACATTAAAAGGAACAAACTAAGTGGGTGAAAAGAGAACACAATAGGAAATGGGGTGACGAAAACTTAAACAACTCAAGAGACTTTACGACACATGTGTGTATCTTGGCATGTGAAACAATGCACACATCAGTTTGGTCATGGCTTACCAAATGATTACACGCCGGATCATTCTTCCTCAAGGTGGCCTTCATCATTGGGGCTGAGTTGGAGCATGCATGTGAGACACAACTGGATCCTTTGGGTATGGACATTGGAAGGTTGTGCTGAGTTGTATACATGACTATTGTATACAGGAACCCTTTTATCTATCCCACATGGAAGATTGTACAGCATGTTGAGCAGTCTTAGAAATAATACCATGTGCTGTCTCTTAACTATAAAGCTGAGTGCAGGATTAGCTAGCTAGCCAATCATTGTTTGCTAGCAGCTATGTCACTGCAAGGCTGGTGACGAGCGGCCGGTTGACCAGCCACGTCTCAAAGTCTCTCACACGGGCCGGCCCAAATGTTGTTTTGATCCTGTTGGTGTTGCATTGACAGTAACCAGTTGCCACCTGCACGCGATCTGAACCGTCCTTTTATTTACAAACTAAGTGACCAAATAGTTTGCTGCTAACTAGAGAAGTTACAAAATAAAACACCACCTTAGATTACAAGTGTTCTAGTTTTGGCCCGTTCTGGTGACCCATGTGTTGTGTTCTAGTTGTTCAAATAGATTATTTGGGCAGCTAATTCTTGTCATTTCAAAAGTAGCATATCTGAATTAGCCTTTTTTACACGAAATGAGAATGAAAATATAAGATAATGCGTATGTGAGCCCGATTCACATGAAGAGCTAGGATGAGGAAGATATTGAATGGGGTGTGTCACTTTTCACCGACAGGCCTCTCATGTCTCCTCTAACATGTGCCATCAGCAACAACGGTCTCGATTGGTTTTTCACCGTTATGTTACTAACATATTTGCATAAACTGATATCAATTCTGTCCAAAATAGTGTTTAGGACTTTTGCATCTTGTCTTGTGAGGTCTATGCATGCATACATAGCATTTTATGATTGCCGAAAGCTCAAGACACTAGCTAGCCACGAAAATGTAATTTCTTCATGTTTTTATACATGTGGTATACTCCTAGGTTTTTAATGAATAATAATATGCTTGGAATTAAGCAGCTGCCAAGAGGTGATGTATTTTATTTTCCACAGTGATTTTTATTGGAACATGTAATTTTCGCAAAAGGATTTGCCCCACCAAATTACTCATTTTATCTATCGCTCGAATCAATATCCATTTTAACCATAAAATTTCTGAAAGTATTTAGTCTGTGGTCAATAATTCTGGCCTACCCGAAAAATTGCAGCCCAAGCCGATTCAACTAGTGCATCAGGTAAGCTCGGTCTATTATTTTAGACCTGCAACATCAACTAAGGGAATGGCTTTGCTTTATCTTTTTCAACTCTGCTTTCAACCTCGCTACTGGCCAAACAGAGACAGTTCCATAAGCTCCACTCCAGAAAAAGGTGGAGTCAAGAAGTAACATCAGAGTGTGTTTGGTTATTTAGCTTCCACCATACTTCGGTGCGCTTAGCCGTATACGTTCCAAGAGAATCTTGTTTGAATCTTTGTTTTTCACTGCTCTAACCACCGCTCAAGCAATATACAACGGGATAGCTCTGGAGAGCAGCCTAAATCGAGCTTCAATGGCCATCCAGGCTCGGTGGATGCAGGGATGGGTGCGAGGTCCACACGTCAGTATCACAAGTCATACAAGTTGCATCCGCTCATACAGGTAACCAAACAGCTTCCTAGTTTTTTTTTTATCTGCTCATGCAACATGACCAAACATTCTCTTTCTCTGGAATATGGTTTCACTCAGCCTCAATGCTCTCATCTGCATATACCATGCAAGCCCCATTTGGCAACCAAGCACATCCTAGTTGTTCTGTGCAGCACTAAGAAGATACTTGAGAATCTCTAGTTTTCCATGGTGATTAGTAGAGTGACGAAGCAGTCTCAAACAGGCCTTAAGTTAGACCAGGGCTACAAGTTGTGCCTAAAATCCGATCCAATCCGAAACCAGCCCAACACGGAAGATGTGAGTGGCCTGGCCCCGAACCTTCTGTTTCCCAGTCCAGTTTCCTTTCCTGCTGTGCGAAACCGAGCAGGCGAGCACCCCAATCCCAAGCTATTTCGTTGTCAAAAAAAAAAAAAAAGCTATTATGTATCGACGTATCGTCCTCGTGCAGCAACCGGACTCTCTCTTGTGTTTTGCACTATATATACGTATGCCTATCGTGCATCAACCGGACTGTTCCCTCGGTTCGGCAGATCCAACAAGAACAACTAACCTAGTATTTCTTCGATCCATCCATACATGCTGCCATGCCATTGCTCATCTCATTTTAAATGGAGATCTGAACAAGACGATTGAAGAAGAACCACCACTTGGTTGGCTTGTCTAAACCAAACACCGGCAATGGCGGATCAGCAGCAGCCGACGGCGGCGGCGGCGGGGGCGGCGTATTCGCGGAAACAGATCACCGACAGCATGGCCTTCATCAACGAGATCCTGGCGGAGCTCGTGGCAGCGCCCGACGTCCGCCACGAGTTCTTTAGGCTCCTCTCTGGATTGCGAAAGGACGGCGGCGACGCCGACGCCGTCGGGTCCCGTGCCGCGGAACTCCTCCGTGGCCACCCCGACGTGCTCCGCAGGTTCACCGCGCATGTCCACGCGGACGCCCCCGCGGAAGAAGGCCGCGCCGCAGCAGCCACAGCCGCAGGAGGAGCGAAAGGGACACCCACCAGACCCCGGCGGCGGCGGCGGCTCCACCGGAAGCGCCGCCAAACGTCGCCGCAGCAGCACGAAACCACCATTGGGTCGACCGCGGCCTCCGGTTGGTCGACGCCGCCCGGGCGTTAACTTTCGTCAAGTGAGTACACGAAACCGCGGGCCCCGTGGTCCATGGCAGGTTCCTCGCCGTGCTGTCCGAGGCGCAAGGCAGCGAGGACATGTTCGCCGACGAGATCTACGACAGGGCCAAGCGAGCGTTCGGCCCGGCGCACGTCGGCCTGCTCCACGCGTTCGCCACCGTGTGGCTCCCGGGGGAGGAGTGGAAGCTGCAGCAAGCGCGTGGACCGGCGCCGGCACGGCAGCGCAGTCGCGCGGCGGCGGCCTCCGCCTCGCACGCCGGCATGCCCGATGCTAAGAAGAAGCCTCGCGCCGACGACGATGGCAACAACGGCCGACGACACGACCCTGCTGCCATTGCCCCCCGACGGCAGCGCAACCGCGCGGCGGCGGCCTCCTCGCACGCCGCGGCCGCCGGCATGCCCGATGCTAAGAAGCCTCGCGCCGACGATGGCAACTACGGCCGGCAACACGACCATGTCATCGCCGTGCTGGAGGTGAGAAACGTCAAGAAGCGCCGCAGCGACGACGATGGCACCGGCCGCGGACTCCACGCGCTCCACCGCATCGGTGAAAGCTCAGGCGGCGGAGCAGCGGCGCGGGGCCGTGACTACGACTACGACTACGCGCCGCAGTCCAGAGCCAAGAAGCACCACAGTGGCAACGGCGAGTTCTCGGGCAGCGCGCCCGCGGCGCAGGTGCTCGGTGCCGGCGCCGGCGCCGGCGTCCACCACGCGGCACGCGTACAGCGACAATGACAAGAAGCCACCACGCCGGCGCGCCGCCAGCGGAGGTAAAAGCTCCAGCGCGGGGGCGGCGGCGGTGGCAAAGCAGCAGCCGGAGCAGGACGACGAGGTCCGGCGGTTCCGGCAGGAGTGGGAGTTCCAGACCTACTACTCGAAGCTGGTGGCCACGAGCGATCGTGTCACGGAGCTGCTGCGTCCTAGTCGTACTCGTACCACCCCGCATGGCGGCGGCGGCGGCGGCGGCGGCGGCAACCGTTCGCTGCAGGCGCTGTTCCCTCTCACCGAGTGCCGGGAGCTGAGTTCCTCCACAACTACTACGGCGACCGTTGGGGCGAGATGAGGGCGACGCTGGAGCGCGGCGAGAGCCGCGTCCCGGCGCTCGAGGCGATAGAGCGCAGGCTGAGGACGAAGGAAGAGCAGGCCATGGACTACACGCTGGACTAGGAGTACCGGCGGCACCACGGCGGCGGTGCATGAACGGCACGAGGAGTCCCTTTTGTTTGTCAAATCTCAAGCTTGATCTTGGATGGTCAATTGGTCATGATGATTGATCAATAAGGGACTCACGAGGGTTGAGGGATATAACATGCAACCGTTACAAAATTCTCCAGATCTGTATATGCTTATTGCAAATTGTATTTTTTTTTAAGAACCAGCGTGCTGCAAACATATGTTTACTTCGCTAAAACTATATGGTTGTAAAGAGCATCTCCTATCCTAAATTTTGCTCTAAAAAATCTATATTTTCCAACTCCTAAAAATGTATTGGAAAAAAAGATGGTTATCTCCAATAATTTTTAATAATTCACTCCTAAAATATAGAAGACAATCTTACATCAGGAATCATATACTATTTCTAAACTATTTTAACTAATTTTATATATTCTTTCTCTCTTGTACATTTGTATATGGAACCTTTTCATACTATTTATTCTTTTTCCGCCCTTCTACCTTTAGTTGAGCGATGATTACGCGTGTATCCGCGCGACCCGACTCAGCGCAAAGTTACGTGCAACGGGGAGGATTTTCCAAGTGCGTAAATTTTAGGAGAAATGATTATGAATTGTTGGAGGGGAATTTTTTCTTATCTTGCATAAAACCAAGGATTAGGAAGAAAAATAGGGTCCTCTTGAAGATGCTTAAGCTTTGACAATACAGAAATGCAAATGAGAGAAGCCTCAGCCTTATTTAATCCATTTGTATAATGTAAAGTACAATACCAACTTTTATATGCATGAATCAAGTTCCATTCGTCTCTCATTGTGCCATCTCCCACTCCAAACACCATACAAAATCGCAAAAAATCCCTATACGCGCACGGCGCTCACGAGATACTAGTGGAGTATGTGTGATTAGCACGACCCAACACCACCGCGCAGCTACCAAATGGAAACAGCCCGACTCCATTTCGTATTTAGAGACACACGGCTCCATCATGTTATTTCGTGTCATGCTGAGTGTCGTATGGATGTTGTTGCATTGTTTCCCTCCACAACCTTTTCTCCTTTATTATATAACCAAAATTATCAACATTTATATCTCTAAATAGATTAACTAAAATATATTCATAATTTATCTAATAATATTTATTACACCTTATAAAATTAGTATTTTTAATTATTTAATTAAATTAAACTTGAGGTTTATTGAATCCTTTGAAAAATGAGAATGATACTTACCTCCGTTTGGGTTTACTTGTCAGCATCTTTATACTGTAGCAAATTTGACCATCTGTTTTTTCTTCTAAAAAAATCTTAGATACTTCAATGTATATAACACTAATGAAGTATGTTCAATAAAGAATCATATATGTGAAAACTTGATGTATCTAAAAATCATTTGCAGAAAAAAACGTATGGTCAAATTTGCTACAGTAAAAAGTTGCTGACAAATAAACGAAAACGGAGGTAGTACTTTTTTGCGGCAGTAGTTGTGAATATAGAAGGCCATAAGACCCACGACCCGTCAGTAGGGATGAAAACGGATATTTTTCGAGACCGAATTCGTTTAGAGGGGTTCAGATCTATCCGTATCCGAGTTCGGATATTCAACATCCGATACCGTATCCGTATCCGAATACATAAATCATATTTTATGGTGTCGATATCAAATCGTATCTTATCAAGTATGGTTGAAACTATCCGTATTTAAATCCGAATCCAGATTAAAATATAAAAACAAATATAATATCAGTGATATCCGTTAGTATTCGATCCGTTTTCATCCGTACCCGTCAGCATAGCCCATGGCTCAGTGTTTGGCCCGGCCCAGGCACACCGGGCTTGTTTGGTTTGCACCCTGGACTGATTTTGCCTAGGCAAACAGCTGCCTTAATGCTGTCTGGAGTGCATTTGGACGGAGCCCTGGAAACGTGTCTGGGCCAGGCGAGGCACCCTCTGCCAGGCCACCGAAACTGATCGCCTGGCTACAGCACGCTGCTGACTGGGTTAAATCAATACGGTAATGCACTTTTTGTCTTATTTTTTATTTGTTGTAGTCATTTATTTATTTTTTTGTCTCACCATCAAGATATAAAGGTGTGACCAAAACACCTTCCCATGTTTCCTTATAATATCCGTCCCTTAATTATATGTGTAAATAGTTGTCAAGTAAAATAATAAAATTATTTTTTGTTTTTATATTATTTATTTATAAAAGCAATGATTTATACTAAAAGACATAATTTATCAATATATTTCCTATTTAATATTATTAAACGTGATTATCTAATATTAAACGCGTGACAACAATTTACTAAATTATATATTTTGGTTAATCAGATTATAAAAATACATGTTAACTATACAAAGATAAATAAAAACACATTAATTTAAGCATATTATAAATTAAGAAAAATCACTTATCTGTTTTTATTTTGTCACCGTATGTTTATTTGTGTATATTTGACGTGTTATTAATTAAGAAAATGAATTAATTACCTCTCCAGCAGAGAAGAAAACACATGATCTCTATTCATTAGCTTTCTCAGGCCAGGCATCTAACCAAACGAATAACTCTCAACTTGCTTGGCCAGGCAGATTCTCTTAAAATTTCAGACAACTCTCAAACAACACTTTTCTCCAGGCAAGTCATCCAGGCTTCTAACCAAACATGCCCACCATGCCCTAAATGTAAGGCCATGCCTGGGCCGGCCTCTTGGCATGTCATGCTACCCGGGCCTGATGCAACCTACAACAAAAGTATATAAGCCCTCTTCTAACCCTAGACCATATTCTTTCTTGCACACGCAACCACTCGCTTGCTCTCAATCCTCCAGCTTCCTTGGTGCGGTGGCCTGCTCAACTAGATCTAGTCACCGAAATTCTTTCTTCGACGGTGGCGATTGGTAGAGTAGATTGCCCTGTTCGCTTGAATTTATCAGTCCGACTTATCAGTCATGGTACAATATTTTTCTCTCACAACAAAACAGCATCAATCGGCTTATCAGACGAACAGCTCGGTACAACTGTGTGGCCACTTTGATCAACTCTATTGAAAAAAGAACTAACTACAACTGCTTTGATCGTGTCGTATATATAAGTACAATTATTCTGACACTTTAAAACATTTTTAGGTTTAATTACATATTACTATGATGTAAATTATGGATGCTGTCGCTGTAAAAATGAATTCTAGCGGATTTTGCTACTCTGATGGCCTAGACCGGAAGGCCTAATAAGACACCATGGTACCGGCTTTGGACCTGATAAGAGAGGCTTTAGGTATACCACATTAAAAAGTAACAGAATCACTTTTGGCCCCGTTTGGCTTGCTAAAACTTGGCTGATCGGGATGTTGTATATGTTGCAAATACTTCAGAGGTATACCACGTGTTTCAGATACTTCAGAGATATGTTGCAAAAGTAGATCGGGATGTTGCATATGTTGCAAAGTGTTTCGGAGGCTTGTTGCAAAGTTTTTCAGAGGCATGTTGCAACCATTTGTTCAAAATGTTTCATCTGTTTTAGATGTGTGTTGCAAGTATTTTTTATATGGATGTTGCATATGTTTCACACATATGTTGCAAGAGTATGATCGAAATGGTTCAGCTATTCCGGTCTTATGTTGCAATAAGTGTTTTCATATGGTAAGTTGCTAGTGTTTTGTCTGGGTGTTACATATGTTTTCACACACATGTTATATTACAAGGGTATGTTCCAAATATTTCATCTGCTTCAGACGTGTGTTGCATTCAAGTGTTTCATGTTGCAAGTGTTCCGTGTTTTAGAGGTATGTTTGGAGAGTCATTGGGGTATGGCCTGGGCGTCGTGCGAAGCGGCACGGTGAGACGGGGGCCGGTGGATGGGGCACACGGCGCGCCTAGGGTCCTGCGGATGGGGCGTGCTCGTCCTCATCCTGGCTCTCAGGTCTCGCTCGCGTGGACAGAGAAGGAGTCCGCCGCGGCTATCACCCTCATCGCGGTGGACGCTACGACAGCAGCGAGGATCAGAGCCCGAGCGCCGGCCTGCCAGGCGCTCAGGCCTTCGGCCGACACATCCTCAACACTGCTTTCCCGCCAAGGTACCGACCACCTACCAATATCCCTAAGTACTCTGGGGAGACAAACCCTGGACTTTGGCTTGAAGACTATCAGCTTGCTTGTCAAGCCGGTGGTGTGGATAATAACGACTTCATTATCCGCAACCTTCCACTATTCTTGGCCGATTCGGCATGAGCGTGGTTGGAGCACCTACCGTCCAATGCAATCTAGAGTTGGGCGGATTTGAAGGAGATCTTTGTGGGAAACTTCCAGGGCACATACAAGCGCCTTGGGAATTCATGGGACCTCAAGAACTACCATCAGAAGGCCAGTGAGACCCTCCGCGGGTATATCCAGCGCTTCCCCCGATAATGCAACGAGCTCCCCAACGTCGCCGACGCCGACGTGATAGGAGCCTTCCTGTCCGGGACGTCCTGCGAGTCTTTGGTTCATAAGCTGGGACGCAAGGGCCCATGGACCACCAAGGAGCTCCTAGACATCACCACCAGCCATGCCTCAGGAGAAGAGGCGG